GCACCAAACTGATTTTCAATCAACAGTACAAGGTTATTTAAGATAAAGACAGCATCAGTTTTATTTTTCATCAAAAAAGTCCAAGTGTGCCTTGAGAAGTCATCAACAATAGTAAAAAAATAACTACAACCATCATGAATCTTAGATTTGTATGGTCCCCAAGTATCAACATGAAGTAAATCAAAGCACTTAGTTGATCTAGACAAACTAGAATGAAAAGGAAGTCTAGTCTGCTTAGCTTTGTGATAGACTTGACAAACTATATCACAACCAGCAGTGCTATTAAAAGCATTATTGACTAAATGCAACTTATTAAAAGGAAGATGCCCTAGCCTAAGATGCCAAAGCTTAGCTGCTTCATTATTAACTAATGAAGAAGAACTTGGAACAGATAGAACAGTCTTCTGCTGCTTCAGAGGATCAGAATCATCAATTGAATATAAGCCAGAACTCAAACTACCAAGAACCAAGGAATGATTCATGGTTGGATCCTGAATTAAGCATTTATCATGAGTGAAAGTAATTTCACAGTTCAAATCCTTACACAGTTTGTAAGTTGAAATTAAATTGAACTTGAAACCAGGCACATGCAACACATTCCTCAACTGTATGCCATTTTCAAAATTAACAGTTCCAATATGCTCAACTATTACTTTCTTTCCATCAGCAATAGTAATAGTGTTAGGAAATTTATCAAACACTTTATAATCACTGAACAGATCAATATTAGAGCAAATATGGTCAGTTGCTCCACTGTCAATAATCCAGCTAGAGTTTGAGCAAGTAAGTAAGTACCTGCCACAAAAGCTCCTGCAGATGGCTCCGGTGCAAGTGAACCTCCAGCTGAGCTTGCACCAATATCCTGAGATTGCAGAGCCTTCATGATAGAAGTGTAATGATCCATGGACATAGTGACCTGAGCATCTGATTCAGTAGACACATCATCATCAATATCAGCATTCTGTGCCACTGCAACAACTTTCTTGCCTTTGAACTTGCTGTTGTTACCAAAGTTAGGAGGATATCCATGTTTCTTGAAACATTTATCAACAGTATGGCCTGGAATTTTGCAATATTCACAGAATACAGGATTAGCTTTCCTATTCTGATAATTTGCTGAACTCTGATATTGTGGCTTGTAATACTGTGGATATTTTCTTGAATCTGCAGCAAATGCCATGACCTTAGTGTTATCATTAACACTTAATTCCTGCTGCTTCTCCTCCTGAATCAATAATCTGTAAGCAAGAGAAATAGGAGGAAGAGGCTGCATCATCAGAATATTAGATCTAGTGTTATTGTACTTATTGTTCAATTTCATCAACATTTGTACTAATCTCTCCTCCTGCTGTTGTTTGAGAAACTTCTGAGTTAAACCACAAGTACATCCACTGCAATTACAGGTAGGTAAGGGACTCATTTCACTTATCTGATCCCAAATTGCTTTGATCTGAGTGAAAAAATCTGCAATCGAAGTTTCATCTCCTTGATGTAGATCTGTTAATTTCTGCTGCAGAGTAAAGAATTGAGGACCAGAGGTTTGGGAATATTGTTCCTCCAGATCCTTCCAGATCTCTCTGGAAGTAGTGAGATATAGAACACTTCGAGCAATAGAAGTATCCAAAGACCTCAGAATGTAAGAGATGATTATTGCATCACATCTCTTCCATGCTGAATGAACAGAATCAGTAATAGCAGGTTGAGGAAGACTGCCATCAATGAAGCACAATTTGTTTTTAGCAGACAATGCAATGATCATACTGCGTTTCCACTCACCATAACCTTCACCGGAAAATTTCTCAGAAATCAAGGATTGACTAGTGTTCTCAGAAGGATGAATGAAGTATGGACTGGTAGGATCCTGAGTAGGAGGAAGAAGACTTGCCGCCATTGAAGAAAAATTTAAACAGCAACAATAAAATTGAACAAACTCTCAAGAATCAAACAAAAATGATTCACAGAAATTTGAAAAATCAATCAACAATAAAAAAATGTAACAATCAGAGTAAATTGCAGAAGATCGAAGAACAGGAACTAGCAGAATTTCAACAACAATTTTGGAATTCCAGAAGCTCTGATACCATATTGAAATCTGCTATAAGAAATCAGTGAAGAACAATATGAACTAGAGAGAGAAGAAATTAGAGAGAGAAAAGAGAGGAGAGTATTCTCATTTGATTGAATTCAGAATTAGAGAATAGCTACAACATGAATATTTATACTTAGCTATAATACTCTATGCTTAGCTTCTATTACAAGCAACAAAATCATAACAGAATTGCTGACTGATCAAGAATCTTGTAACAAACTTAGCCTACGTGGCAAACATGCCATAAGCATGACTCTAGCATAAATAATCAGCATCATCATATTCTGCAGGATTATCAACAATTTTATTTTATTTTTTCTTTTATTTCATGATAACAATTAATAATTACACTCAAATTGTGTAGTGGGTGGGTGTACAAAAATGTGGGAGTATAAAAATAAGAGAAAGTGAATATGTGTCATTATTTTGAAGTAATAGAGGGTAAGAGGATAAATTTGCCAAAAATAGCATAAATCATAGTGTTAAGATCTCCATACTCTTAACAAAAATGAATTGAAAAGTGTTCAATCATAAATCATAGTGTTAAGATCTCCCTACTCTTAACAAAAACTGATTTGAGGCACTGATCAAACGAGTAATCCCAAAATATGTAACAAATAAGACCCTAACTAAACGAGTAACCCCAAGATAAGTAACAAATAAATGGCTCTAAACCGCCTAAATTTGACCAAGCATAATGGGTGTGCCATTCAGAGGCACTAACGCTTCTTGCCGCTGACGCAGATAGCTGATCATCTTAAAATAATCATATAACTTGAGATTTGAAGCTTTATTTGAGGTTTGTAATATATCGTTGGAAATCTCTTGAATACCACTCACCAGTGCTATATATTTAAATCATTGCATTATCATTGCAGATCAAAAGTTTCAGCGAAATAATAGAAGGGACTCATATTCGTCAATTTCTTCACCAACATTTTGCTTCATTTTTAATTCATGTTGCTACAAAAATGCTCAAAGAAATCTGAAATAAGATACCCAATATAAAAAATAACGACTCTCTTTAATACTGTTTTAGGGTGGTAAAATTTTGAAGTGATCATTTTGCTAACAAATACAATACGTATAGGTGTAAAATTTCCATCACTGTATTTTCAACTTATACAATAAAAAATAGGAAAATTTGCAAATTGCAGCCATTTAAAGTTCGTATTTTGCAAATTGCAGTCATTTAATTTTTTTTTGCAAATTGCAGCCCGATTCAATTTTTTCATTGGTTTACATGTTGATAAATTTTCGGTTAAGGTTTTAGGGGTCATTTTAGTTCTTAGGGGACCGAATTGAGCTCGGAATTAGCAAAAAAATAACGTAAGTGTCTCATATTTACAGTTTCCCACAAATCGATACATTTTTGTTACGCAAAACGAGATACTTGCGTTATTTTTTTGCTAATTCCAAGCTCAATTCGGACCCCTAAGAACTAAAATGGCCCCTAAAACTTTAATCGAAGATTTTTCAACTTGTAAACCGATGAAAAGGTTGAATCGGGCTGCAATTTACAATTTATATGAACTTTTGGGCTGTAATTTTTAATTTTATTTTTAAATGGCTGCAATTTGCAAAATACGAATTTTAAATGGCTGCAATTTGCAAATTTTCCTAAAAAATAGTATCTATGCTTTTATTATGCATGCCTTCGTAGTATTTAATTAAATAAATCAATTATATTATTGCCTAAATCATGTGCTAATTAAAGTGTGTCAACTTAATAGGTACAAAGAGAGTATTGCGTGCATGAGTAATTTAGATTTCTCTGATAAAAACTTATAGTTATTTTATGCATATTATAAAAAAACTATAGTTCTCTACACAATTTGGAAATTATCATAGAACTAACTAAAGATTGTAGTTAAGAAAGGTGTCTTTGTTAAGTACAAGTATAAAATTCTGCATCAAAATAAATAAAAATAATAAGTATAAAATTCAAGTTATTTTGTTTACATTATAACAAAAAATTGTATCTTTCTCTTGAGGTTTTGTAGTTAAGAAAGGTGTCCTTGTATACTTCGTATAAAACTAAAAATTGTAATTCAAATTGAATCATATCGTTGACTTCAATAATAACTTATTAATGAAGGATCTAATTAATTAAATTAATTCATATTTAATTTAAAAACTTTTTTAATTTTTATTTGGGCTTAACCTAGGTCTTTAAGCTCAATTAGCTCTGCAATGACGAAAATACCCTTCTTAAGAAACAGACTAATTACAATCAAGCCCATTCTCTATAAACCAGCTCGTAATTACACGATTACGAATTGAATTCACCTTGGTCTGTTCATACGGTTATACATACATATATAACCTTTTCTAGTCTTTCTCTCACTAATTCTCATTATTCGTTTTATGGTCCATGCATTAACTAACTTACATAATTGGGCAAAAATTACAATTTTAGTTAACTAAGGACCTGTTCTCATACGATTATTTTCAGTTCACTTCAGTTCAATTTAGCTCTAATAAATTTAATTCAGTTCATTTCAGTCAATAAAAACAGACCCTAACTCTTATAATAGGTTTCACGCACGTGATTTTATATGGTCCATTAAAGCTTTGCTTGGTTCAGCTAGCAACTTCAAAATAAAGCCTTGGTCCCGCAATTGCTAATGAATTGACCAATTGATCTCAATAATAATCATTAAAGATTGAAAATTTGTTTGGTCCTTTTCATTTAAAAAAAATACTTAACAATAAAAAAGGAAAAAATCTTAGAGGACTCGTATTAAAGGTGTCAAAATTGGATTCGACCAACCCGATGTGAAATCAGCTTAAAAATACCCGATTTAGATTTCGACTGGCATGGATATAGTAATTAGCTTGACTCAAGTTTGAAATCGATTTTATCTGACCCGACCTCACATAACCCGAATTGACATCTCTAATGGAATTCCATATACGTATTTTGTAAAATTATGATAAATGAAACATTCAAACACAGAAAGTAGTCTACTAATTGCACACCAAAATTGTGGTACTTGCACACAGAAATTGTGGTGGTCGATATCTTTACATTGAAAGACTACTCTGCAATCATTAATTACAAAGTCTTGTTGTTAGTTAAGGTGGGATAAAGGGTATGATTAAGAAATTAGGAGCATAATAAAAACGGACTACGGAGTAGTAGTGTATGAATTTAGGATATAGCCATGTATGTTATGCTTATTGTCATAAAAAAAAGAGAAAAAAAAATCAATCAAGTATTATATTAGTAGTTAATGTAAAATATTCACTCCCATCCAATCCATAGTATTGAAGTTAGAATATATAGGTTACAAATTGTTTTCTATATTATAAGATGTGGAGATTAAAGGTAGGAGAAGGTGCAAATGAGCCTTATTTATATAGCACTAATAACTTTGTTGGGCGCCAAACTTGGGAGTTTGATCCCAACTATGGCACCCCTGAGGAGAGGGAGGAGGTGGAGGAAGCACGACGTAACTTTTACAACAATCGCTTTAAAGCCAAGCCTTGTGGAGATCTCTTATGGCGTCTTCAGGTTTATTTTCTTGCTTTATAATATGTCTTATTTCTTGCATGAATGGTTTCCTTCATTATAAAGTTGAAATAATACGTACAAGAGATTTATTAAGTTCAATTAAAACTAGGGTTTGGTTCAAGGGGATACAAGATTAAGAAATTTTCAAGTGAAAGACAGAATAATGGTAATAAGTTGGGATATGATCGATCATAATATAGGATAGTGATTCCAATAACCCTTATATAAGCCCCAATGATTAAAAAAATTTTAATCGTGCTATTACATAAATTATCCAATAACTGACATTGTTGAAATTAATTGTATTCCCACTTAAGAGTATTTTCCACATTAGCTAGGGAAAGAAGAGAGAAATGACCACCGCAATAAGCCAATAATAAGGTAGGAATGAAGGTTACTCTTTCTATCACCAATTGATTGGATCACTCATTCCGGTTGTATATTATCTTAAAATTCAACCGACAAACTGGCTCGCACTAAATAACTCATTTCTTGTACTCCTTTTGCATTTTAACAAGTGTTATAGTTTGACTTTTTTCACTATTCACATAGTGATTTTGACTTGATTGATATATTAATATATAAAAAACAAATGTTATGAAATATAGGAGATTATTAATTTATTTTAGAATCCAACAATGTATTGATTGATTGATTGTGTAAGCATAAAATATACTTCGTATAATGTACTCCGTAATAGGTTTCCAAAAAAAAATGTAATTCAATTCAAAAAAAAAAATGTAATTCAATTCAAAGAAAGTTTAGAGAAAAAACCTTAGCCTTTGTAGTGATATTAACCACATTTATATACACAATACAATAGGAACCTAACTTGCCTAAACTCCAAACAATATAAACTTAACAAATATACAAACTTAACATAAATACACCAAACCAACAATTCTAATATATCTTTTTCAAACATTAAACAATATGTAGTCTTGAAATGTTATTATAAGCTCTCATTTTTCATTTGAAAGGTTAAATGCATGCTGATACTTAGACCTTTTTTTAGTGCACATTATTTTTACTTATTTCAGAAAAAATAAGTTCAGATCAGATCAGATTAGAAAAATAAGTTTAGACCAGATCATATCAGAAAAAATAAGTTTAGATCATATCATCGTTTTATGTGCAATTTTTTATCACTAATTATCTTCAATTTCGTATTGAAAAAATTTATGAGAATTACATATTAATAAAATACACATTATTACGAACCTAATAAGACCCTACTTGATATATTTTATCCTTATAGATTATCATACACTTAAGGTCAAAGTTAGGTCAAATCAGACAGCAATCAGATCAGATCAGATCAAACAAACAAAAATGAGGTGAACCAAACAAGCCCTTAGTACCAAAATACGAGTTTTTATTTTTTAATTAATAAGGAGTTGACATGAATTGATTAATCTTTCATAGTAATTTTATTTGGTGCAAGGAAAAATAAAGCCCTTGCATGAAAGGGGAGTGACACATAGTATACCTTCTTATCACTACAAGAATCAGGTTGATTTTCGATGGATAGGTAATTTCGTCGAAAAAACTGAAATTTTCGTTGACTTTAATATCGGTTGATATTTCCGACGAATTGAAACAATTTGTTGGAAATTTTCAACAGAATTTAAATCCGTCAGGAATGTATGTGCTAGAATGTATGTGGTAATTGGTATAGATATATTAGATGTAAGATCTTTTTACTTTTGATAGAAGTAACTTTCTGCTAGAACATAAATTATTTATTAACTACTAATAATAGTTTAATATATAATGTAATCAGTCATTTGAAATTGTTAGTTCTTAAGGGAGAAAAACTTCAAGCAAACAATACCTCAAGTGAAGGTGGAAGAAGGGGAGGAGATCACATACGAAACCGCGACGACAACATTAGAGAGAGCAGTGAATGAATTCATAGCATTGCAGTCTGAACATGGCCATTGGCCTGCTGAAATTGGTGGCCCTCAATTTTTCCTCCCTCCCTTGGTTAGCCCCTTAACAATACATTTGCTCATTTAATTTTGTAATTGCATCATTTTATAACAAAGTTTTTATAATGAATAAACATGTAATGTAATGCAGGTATTCTGCTTATACATTACAGGGGATCTGAATTCTGTTTTCGGACCAGAGCATCGTAGAGAGATTCTTCGAAGTATCTATTATCATCAGGTTAAATAATTAACTTCCATACTTTATTTGAAATGAGCTTTAATTTGACCTTGAAAAGAAATACATACATTTTTAAATATATGGTGTTTTGCAAAACATAGAACAAAGATGGAGGTTGGGGATTGCATATTGAAGGACACAGTACCATGTTCTGTACTGCACTCAACTACATTTGTTTGCGAATGCTTGGAATCGGACCTGATGAGGGTGATGACAATGCTTGTCCTAGGGCTCGTAAATGGATCCTTGATCATGGTAGCGTTACTCATATCCCTTCTTGGGGAAAAACTTGGCTTTCTGTAAGTCATCATAGTTTTGCAATAGTCATGAATTCACCATTTTTAAAAGTTTTTGATTTACTAAGGGCTTGTTCCGATTGACTGAACTCAGCTGAACTGAACTGAACTGAACTGAACTTATTAATTAGTGATTTTTAACTACGAATTAGTGATCTTTGATTATTTATTGATTATTTATTACTATACATATGTGTATATACAAATGTACATATTAATAATAATAATAATAATAATATTATTATTAATTATTGATGATTATTATCATTATTGTTATTATTTATTGATTATTATTATTATTATTATTATTGTTATTATTATAATTATTATTATTTATCGATTATTATTATTAGTATTATTATTTCAATTATTATTGTTATTATTATTATTATTTATTGATGATTATTATTATTATTATTGTTTATTACTTATTGATTATTATTATTATTGTTGTTGTTGTTATTATTATTATTATTATTATTATTATTATTATTATTATTATTATTATTATTATTATTATTATTATTATTATTATTATTATTATTATTATTATTATTATTTATTGTTGTTGTTGTCGTCGTCGTTGTAATAAGAGCTTAAAAGAATGAAATTTGGCTTTATATCATTAGCAATATCATTAGACGTAAATTAAGAGCTGAACTGAACTGAACTGAATTTCAACGAAAGAGAACAAGCCCTAATTATGTTATTATTGCAACATTGTTTCTACAATGTATTTTAGATACTTGGCCTGTTTGATTGGTCTGGCTGTAATCCAATGCCACCCGAGTTTTGGATCCTTCCGTCGTTTCTCCCTATGCATCCAGGTATTGGATCTAGTACTATTTAGTAGATATATTATTTTGTTTAATGCTAATAATGTAAAGAAAAACTAATTATTGAAATTTTTGGTACTAAAATTTGATGTTATACAGCAAAAATGTGGTGCTACTGTCGAATGGTTTATATGCCAATGTCATATTTGTATGGAAAGAGGTTTATAGGCCCAATCACACTTCTCATCAAACAACTTAGAGAAGAACTCTTCAACGATCCCTTTGAGCATATTAGTTGGAAGAAAATACGCCATTTGTGTGCACCTGTAAGATCATATTAATTGTTTCAATCGTTAATCTTTATTGCTAAACTTGTATAAAATCTTATGCAACTTACACTAATAAAATTAATTATATATCATGATTCATGATACACAACAGGAGGATCTTTACTACCCTCATCCATTAATTCAAGATTTAATGTGGGACGCTCTTTACATCTTTACGGAGCCTCTCTTAACTCGTTGGCCTTTCAACAAGTTGATTCGAAAAAAGGCACTAGAGGTTACGATGGAACACATTCATTACGAAGACGAGAATAGCCGTTACATAACCATCGGATGTGTTGAGAAGGTATCGATTATACAAAAATCTTAGCTTGATTATACACAATAATTAAAAATATAGCATTTCTATTAATTAATTAATCAACTAAATCCATTATATTAGGTATTATGCATGTTAGCTTGTTGGGTGGAAGATCCTAAAGGGAATCATTACAAGAAACACCTTGCTAGAGTCCAAGATTACATTTGGATTGCCGAAGATGGATTAAAAATGCAGGTAATTATTTATCATCAAAGACTTATTATTATTATTATTATTATTATTATTATTATTATTATTATTATTATTATTATTATTATTATTATTATTATTATTCACACGTACATGCAAAATTGTCCTAAATTATGATTAAAAATTGTAGAGTTTTGGAAGTCAATTATGGGATTGTGGGTTTTCTATCCAAGCATTGCTAGCTTTTAAGAAAGGTCACTTCTTCATTAAAGAGTCACAGGTATTCTTTTTTTTTTTAATTGAATTTTTCATGAATTAATACATCAATGACTATGTTTCAATTTAGAATTTTCATATATAAAGGGCCCGTTTATTTCACCTTATTTTAATTTACTGAACTGAAATTATTTTTATTGAGCTAAAATTATTTTTGCTAAACTGAAATTATTTTTACAGATTTTCTAAAATATTTTTTTTCGTTAATTTTATTGATTTTTACTGAACTGAAATTATTTTAAGTGAACTAAACATAATATTATTGAACTGGAATTATTTAGTGAACTAAACATATATTATTATTGAAGTGAAATTAATTTTACTGAACTGACATTATTTTTACTGAATATTATATATTTTTTTAAGGTAGATTGAACATGGCCTAAATACTAGAAAGTATATAGTTAATTAGTTATATGTGGATCTATCATATGAGTATGCATGCACAACAAGAAAGAACAAAATATGCAATCGAAATCATGAATCAAAGCTCCTTACCTCGTTGCTATTGCTTTAAGACTTGTTGTTTTAACCCTTTATAGATATTGTGATTGCCTGCCCTTGTTTTAATGCATCCCCACCAAACCAAGAGACCCTCAAAAGACGCTTTCATCTCGTCGGTCCCACTTGTGCCCGCTTCAAAGTACCGACCGTTACAAGCCCTGACTCCGCACCCGTTGTGTACGAGTGCTCCCTTGAGATACCGTTGGTCCGTGTTGTTATGTGCTCACAAACCTATTTCGTTCTAGGCTTGCGTCCTTGTCACCAATAGACAAGAGCACGCCGTATAATCCGATGTCAGAACTCTCAGACCCTAACAGCATGAGTAAAATTAAGTTAGTCACCAAAGGCACCAACAATCCAATGCAACGTAACATAAATGATCAATATGTAAATTAAACCATACTATTAAATTAATGCTACATGTTTGTCCATAAATTAGGTTAAGGACAATCCATTGGGCGACTTTAAAGCTATGCACCGCCATATCTCGAAAGGATCGTGGACTTTCTCCGATCATGATCACGGTTGGCAAGTATCTGATTGTACTGCTGAAGGCCTCAAGGTAAGACCCTTAAACAAGAGCAATAATGTACAAGTAGATTGTATTTTTGTTTCAGAAAAATATAATGCATTTTGATGTTTATTTTTATACAATTAACTTTGGTTTCTTTTGTATTATATAGTGTTGTCTAATGTTATCAACAATGCCCCCGGAAATTGTCGGAGAAAAGATGGACCCTGAACGACTTTATGATTCCGTCAATGTCTTGCTTTCTCTACGGGTATTAATAAGAGTTCAACAAAATAAACTATAAAGGGATTAAATTGAAAATAGTATAGTGCACTCGGAAAAAATATTAGACATATTTTAAAGAACATGGGCAAAAAAAAAAAAACATGCTAGTGTTTGAAATTTTTTTTTTTGACAAAAGAACATGTTTGTGTTTGATAAGAACATGACATTACAAAGAACGTCTTTACAAAAAGAACATGTTATTTTTCATGGTTACTCGAGTGGTTGAATGTGTTTAAAAAAAAAAATATTTGACAAAAAGAACATGTTTGTGTTTGACAAAGATAGATGTGGTCATTGGGCGGGCCAGGCCAAGGTTAAAAAATCAGCCCACTTCTCGGGTCGGGACAAGTTTTGGGCACAATTTTTTTTGTGCCCAAACCTGCCCAAAATGGTCAGGTCGTGCGGGCTTTTCGGGTCTAGTAAAAAAAATCAACTAAAATGCATAAAAACGCATTCTCAAACCCGGCCAAAAAAATAAATTTACGGGCCGGGTTCGACCTGATTTGGGGGGTAAAAAAATTATGCCCAAAACCCGACTAAAATCGGGCCGAGCCTATCTAACTTTGATCACCTCTAGCCAAAGAACATAAAGTTTGTACAAAATTAACATGATAATACATTAAAGAAACATGTTCTTTAACTTGGTTACTCGGTTTTTTTTTTTTTTTTTTTTTTTTTTACAAAAAAAAAAACATTAAAAAACATATTGTATAATGTAAAGAACATATATTTCAAACTCAAAGAACATAATAATCAAACTTAAAGAACATATTATGCTCGCGTTCTTTATAAATATCTATAATGTTCTTTTTCTCCCCCATGTTCTTTTAAATATACCTAATGTTCTTTCCGGATGCACCATTGCCTGGTGGCTGATGTACCAATCACACATTAGATTAAATAGATGTAAGATCTGTGTTTATGCTTTTTTTTTCTTCTTCCTAATTATATGTTTATTAGTGGCACAGCCTGGAATTTCAAGGCGAGAGGACATTGTGTAGTTTGACAAAAAAAATTTAAATAAAATCAATATTTTTACAAGGATAGTTAAATAAAGAAGGCAGCTATTGAATGTTGTAATTAAGGTGCAAGTTTAAATTCTGTACTCAGTAATTGTACTGATTCAAAATTAAATAGGGGCTAAAATGAGGAGTGAGGGTTTGTCCGATCCCACAGCCAAGGTTATGGGCAAGCTCTAAAAACACATAATAATCCACTGCACCAAATCACTTGTTATAAACAATCTCTTGTTAAAGTGACAATAAACTGTCATAATTGCATACATTTATATTCTTGTCCCATGCTGGTTATGTAAGATAAAAAGAATTAAACTCGAGACCAACAAATATTAAATTACAAGTCTTATCACCTCAACTCTCCATTTATTATGCTATTTATTCAACAAAATTATAATTAACTTGGAGATGATTAGTGCTTTGATGTTTGAAAAATAATAATTTTATTTTTCTGCGTAATATTCAATATAGTTGTTGGAAATCATTAAATTGTAACATACAAAATATTGAACATTAAATCCTAATACAAATATTGATCGAAAATCTCGAGGGAAAGTCAAGCTCCCTTGTGGAACGAAATTAAGCCACCATATTCGTTCCACAAGGGAGCTCGACTTTCCCTCGAGATTTTCGATCAATAGCCACCATATTTGGAATCTCCTCCAGATCTCCGATGAATAGCCACTGGCTATGATGCCATTTTTGAGAACTCCATCTAATCCTCTAGTGTTTTTTCATGGAGAAATGGTTTACCCAATTATTTACCCCGAGTAAGGTGGATTTCCATATTTAGGTGGAAGTTCTGCTAGCCAAATTCCCTTCTCTGAGCTACCTTCAGCTACACCACTGGCGTCGATCGACTGTTTTTTTTCTCGAGAAGAGCAGCAACTAAAGTGGGGAAAGTAACTTCTCTCTCCTCCTTTTTTTTACCCAACCCTTTTTCATTTTACCCCCCAATTTCATTTTATCTTTTTTTTTAATTTGCAAATATTATTTTTTTATTAGGGTATTGGACAGGGGGGCCTATACCTGGTAAGGGGCAATAGTTTCTCCTTGTAAGACCTTGTTTGTGGACCGAACTCTCTTCATCCTTATTTGGGTTGCCTAGACTCATTTTATATTGTTTCGAAATTTAACATTAAAAAGTCGTCATGTGTATGATATGCTATCGAATATTCATATTTTTTTGGACAATATTTTCTACATTAACAACCTTTTTGCAGAGTAAAAATGGTGGGATATCTGCTTGGGAACCAGCAGGAGCACAAGAATGGTTGGAGGTGAGTTATTTAGTTTTACAACAGCCAATTAATTAAAGTATTGATAATGTTACAATAATAAGAATAATAGTAATAATTAGTTTGCTAATAAATATATACAAGTATACGAAACTTTATGTAACTTTTTTTGTACAATCTCCAGATTCTAAACCCAGTAGAATTTTTTGAAGGCATTGTCATTGAGTATGAGTGAGTATTGTTCGTATTACTTGGTGTTCATTATTTTCGATTTTTATGTTTATCTTATAAATGGACAATTAACAAAAAAAAAAAGGAACTCATATAATAGGTACGTAGAATGTACAGCTTCAGCAATTCAAGCTTTAGTTATGTTCAAGAAGTTATACCCGGGCCACAGGAAGGAAGAGGTCGATAATTTCATCGTAAACGCAGTCCGATACCTTGAGAACACCCAATACCCTAGTGGAGGATGGTATGTTATGACTTCTTATAAAACATATTCTTGTGCCTCAACTATAATCTTAACTTTTGGTTGAATTGGTCCACTAACATGGTATCGAAGATTCTGAGCCAACGTGACATAGATGTCACGGGTTCAATTCTCATCCACCCCTCCTTCAAAGTGAAATTAATTCACGCTAGGTATGAGTAAGTCTGTCTTGCATCCACATTTCAAACCTAAAGGGTCTTTCATGTGAAGGGGAGTGATATAGTATAAAACATATTTTTAATTGGGCCTTAACCATGCATCAGTTTAAGCTTTTGGTGCTATGAGGAGGGCCTATGCTGCATCCACACTTTTAGCCAAAACAGGCTCTCGTGTGAGGGGGCGTGATAGAGTATAAAACATATTTTTGGGCCTCAATCATAAGGTTAACATAAGCTTAAACTTTTGGTTGAGATGGTCCACTAACACTTCTAATATATCTATGCCAATTATATTGATCCCCCATAATAACTATTAGGAGTGAAATGAAACCCAACCACTCAAAACTGATCCCTAAATCTGAATTAACTTAAAGGGTGGAACACAAATTAAAAAAAAAAAAGGCATGGATTGTGCAATAATATTTGTACACGTACGACGTGTACATGTGTTGTTGTTGGCGAGTATTATCTAATTCATAAGTTAAATTATTGTTTGTAGGTATGGAAGCTGGGGGATTTGCTTCATATATGGGACATGGTTTGCTCTAGGAGGGCTAGCAGCTGGTGGAAAGACGTACTATAATTGTGCTGCTATTAGAAAGGGTGTTGAATTTTTGCTTACAACACAAAAGGAGGATGGAGGTTGGGGTGAGAGTTATGTTTCATGTCCCAAAAAGGTAATTCCTTTTTTTATTTTTATTTTTTTATTTTATGCATCATTTGATATTTTGCACTATTTATATGTTATCTTTAGCTTAATAGTGTACAATCTCTAAATCTGTTTTATTTTTAAAAGTGCACTTCTAATTTTAAATGTTTATTTCACTGTAGCATGTATGTACAGCGGTTATTAACAATTTGTGATTAATAAACCACAGAAATTTGTACCAATAGAAGGAAAATCCAATCTGGTTCAAACTGGATGGGCTTTAATGGGTCTACTTTACGCTGGACAGGTATTTTCATAACTTATATATCAAATACTAAGATAATAACCGCTGATTTAATTTATGTAATTTTCCTTATTATTATCAGGCACAAAGAGATCCAAGTCCTCTACATCGCTCTGCAAAGCTTTTGATCAATTCACAACTCGAAAATGGTGATTTTGCTCAGCAGGTAAATTTAATTAACTTAATTAATCTCCTATGAAAACAATGAATTTTAGATCAGTTTAGTTTTGATATTAAATATTTTCCCAGTTTACCACACGTATGTATTAATTGATACAAATAATATTACGAATTTAACGCAGTTAATTAACGTAATTTTACTCTTATGATTTAAAAAAAAAAATAACAGGAAATATCAGGAGTGTTCATGAGGAATTGCATGTCACATTATACAATGTACAGGAGTATTCACCCTATGTGGGCACTTGCAGAATACAGAAACCGTGTTCCATTACCCTCTATCAACTTTGCCTAATCGAGTTACAATATTGTCCATTACACTCCATATTCGTATGATATATATTGTTTGTTTTAAATCTAAGCCCTCACAGATGTATTTTTTGACACCTTCCCAATAAGCATGATACTAATGGAGTGTGCTTCCACGTATAAGAAAGTTTGTTCTTCCTTGTATTTCCCCATGCGCGATTTAGGATGAACAACATATTAATTAATGGTGAATTGGTGATCACTATATGATACTAATGGTGTAAAGTTGATTTTTGAATAAGATAAATAGATTAATAAAGGATTTTTTTTGTTCCGTTTGTTGGTATATGCTCACAGTGGCGGATCTATGAGTTAAGGTATGGGGGTACATAATTAGGCTTGTTAAAAAAATTTATAAAACGCAAAATTTGTCATACTAGACTTTCAATTAATTATTAATTCCATACTCTTACTCTTATTCGTGATTGCGCGTATTCTTCCCCTAAATTTGTCTATAATTGAACAAAACAAATAAACCAATTATATAAATTAAATATTACACTTAAATAAAGATTTCAGGCGTGCAAAATATAATAAAAAGCTAACGATTTCACATATACACTAAAAAAATATACTAGTATTATAATTGAATTAATTATAGCTAATCACATACTATACACTTACTTTGATACATTCCCATAACACTGTATAACACACGAGTATACTAATTGCACGATATGTAGTACAAGAAAATAGACAATGAAAAGTACCAAAGATTTTTAATTTTTAAAGAATTGATATAAATTTGGGTGAAAAATAATTACACAGTGTAAAGAAAATTATTGTAGATCCATGAGCATATAGTGTTTTTTAGAAGAATTTTTTTATTAAAAAAAAAAAGAAGTTTTTAAAACAAATCAAAATAGCACACCTAAAAGACCAGATGTCCATAAAAAGCAGTCTTTATAATTATAATCTACAGACAACAATGCACACTAGATCATATTGTTGATGTTTTCTTTTAAAGGGAACTAGCTTGTGCCAAAATCAATTACAATATGATATACTTCGTCAATAAAAAGTTATACTTACTTCCGTTTCTTACGAGGAAGCTCCAATTAATCTCTAGGATAAACAAACATGACATTTTAATAAATAAATCAACAACTTTATCCAGTCATCATCACTATGGGACCCACTTTTATCGAAAAAGTAATTGATTTATTTACAAAATTGTCATGTAAATATACGATGAACAAATTTTGTGTATCTCAGAGTTATTTCTAAGAAATTATCTTAAAACTTATTTCTAAGAAATGATCTTAAAACTTATTTCTAACTATGAATTCAAAATATTATACGAAGTAAAAATGATTTTGGCATGAAATTAAAGGTTTAAAAACTACTATTGTACTCGGTACTCCGTAGTATTTAGGGGTTGTAGCTCATCACAATATACGTAAAAATAAGCCTAATGTTAGAGGATCTCTTGTCTAGAATGAAACTATTATTATTATTTGGGCCATTGTTATGCTTGATGGGTTGTTTCAGCTGGCCCCTCAAATTAAAGTACCATCAATTGTTCATTAAGTTTATAAGATTAAATAACTACTTCATCCGTTTTTAAATACTTGCTCCACTTTTCTTTTTCGGTAGTTTTTAAATACTTACTCCATTTCTATATTTGAAAATCTTTTACAATATTTAATTATTTTATCTCACCTATTGGACCCATTATGATATCATATAACTAATATATAAAGCTAAACTTTTAGCCAGATCACGAGCCACGACACTTGGCGTTCTAACTTTTCGCTAAGTGTCGCGCCATGTTGGATAGATTTAAATAGACTTCTTAGGATTAAAAAAAATAGTTTAGAATTCTATTTGGATAGAATTTTAATATAAAAGTTTTATTTTCGATAAAATACCAATATTTCGGATGTAAAAAAATATATTAGATTATAATTCTAAATAATTATCATATAAATTTATTTTTTATATCATAATATTTTTTTGAGCAAAGGAAGTAGTTTTAAGCGTAAAACATGCATCCATTTATAATATATAGAAATCGGTTAAAATAATATATACTTCACAATATAATAGAATTTTATTACTATGTAGACCTGTCAATTAGGGTCGGGTCTTCGGGTCAATTCAACGAGCTTTGAACATTTATTTATTTATTTATTTATTTTGCTAATTTTTTTTAAATGTATTTAATTAAATCGAAAATATCCACCACCATTATTATTACTCATTACAAGGTGGATGCAGCACAGACCCTCTCATACCCGGCGCGAATTAATCCACTTTAAAGGAGGGGTGGATGAGATTCGAACCCATGAACTCTATGTCACGTTGGCTCTGATACCATGTTAGTGAACCAACTCAACCAAAAGCTTAAGCTGATGGTTGAGGCTCATGAATATGTTATATACTCTAATATAAACAATCGAGCATCGCACGGGGCACAAAACTAGTTATATTATTAATTTCATATTCTCTCTACTGTAATTGTCTCTATTACTTTTGCTTTTTACAATTTTTTACTCTTTCACATACCCTACTACTTTCATATTTTATTATTTTATCCAATTTCTCCTAAAATTCCACGCACATAAAAATAGAGCAAGTATATAAAAAGAGTAGTTTTTCAACCAAGTTTTACAACTTAAATTTTGTACGTAGTATATAGCTTCACGGACGTTACTTCGGTATCGTCACAAATAGTACATCTCAAAACCTTTAGATTTCTCTCCTCTTTTAAAGATTGATCTTATATATACGTACTAGCATTTCATTGAATTAATTTATTCCTATTAACAATGAAATTATACATGTATAAAGTTATAGGGCAAATCATAAAATGTGGAGGTTGAAAGTAGCACAAGGAGAAAATGAGCCTTACTTATTTACTACCAACAACTTAATGGGGCGCCAAACTTGGGAGTTTGATCCCAACTATGGCACCCCCGAAGAGATAGAGGAGGTTGAAGAGGTTCGTCGTAACTACTATAAAAACCGCTTTCAAGATAAGGCTTGTGGTGATCTCTGTTGAATTGACTACCTTATATTTTGATGATTGACTTACGTAAAACAAACTCCGACTAATGATGTTTAAAAGAGTCTTGGTTAAGCAGAAGATTCAGGTTTGAAGTAATATGTTCCGGAGTAGGAACAAAAAAGTTTGGAAGACTTGATGATGAATGCAAGCTTTCAAGATGTCCTCATATCTCTATATACTTAGTTACTCAGTGTATGAACTTAAGAAACAAAAGTGTTGGAAGGAACTAAGAAGAAACATGAAGTTCCTGAAGGAACCTGAAGTTCCTGAAGGAACTTGACGATTGACGGATGACTCAGAAAAGTTTTTAACAGTTTTCAAAATCCTTAATTTAAGGAAGAGATAAAATCAGTTTGAAAATATTGGGATAAAATCAGTTGAAAAGATTTATTTTATAAATAAATAAAATCTAAATAATTCTTTAATTTAAAAGATAAATTTATTTTAAATTAATTAATTGTTTAAATATCTTTTTAATAAATAAATATTTATCTTTTTAATAAATGTTGTTTTAAACTGATTTTTGACTTGGTAAAATTCTGTTTGCTTAAAAACAGGATGCACGTTGGATTTGGGAGTCAAGTTAGTGAAATCATGGTTCTCAACTTCCTCCACTTACATCCCAACTTCCCAGTATAGGTGAACGTGGGATTGAGGGGGAAGTAGGAACATGATGGAAGCTTGGATAATCTCCCTATAAAAACAGATCAACGTTAAGTTTTGAAAGTGTGGAAAAACAATCTTAAGTATTCTGAGCATAGAGTTTCAAAGTGTTTAAAAGAGAAGTTCCTTCCATCCTTAGTCTCTTAAGTTCTTTAGAAAATACTTGTAATCATTGTGTAATTGGGTTTGGGTTGTGAGAGTTGTAAAGTGTGAGATTTGAGAGAGTTGTTTACACTGTACAAGTGATTCGGAGTAGAATCACAAAGTGTGAGAAACTGTGATTGAGGGATCACAGTTGGGTAACTTGAGTTCCTCACGGAACTTGAGTCTAGGCAACGTATTAGTGATTGTAAATCATTTTTACATAGTGAATTTATTCATTGCCTATCTCAGTGTCTTTTCTCTTAGTAGTAGATTTAATTCCGCAAAATTTACCATAGTCTACATACACTACAATTCACCCCCCCTCTTGTAGTATACATTGTTCTATCAATTGGTATCAGAGCAAGGAACTCGGAAAAGCAGGAAGCCTTGTCGAGTCAAGTTCCTGGAGGAACAATGTCAAAGGACGAGAGACTAGCTGAAGGTTACTCTACACAAAGACCACCACTCTTCAATGGGAAGTACTATGCCTATTGGAAGACAAGGATGGAGATGTTCATACAGTCCGAGAATTATCAAGTCTGGCGAGCTATCGAAGTAGGAGATTACGAGGTAACCAAGACCAATGCAGAAAATGAGGTAATTCCTAAACCTATCTCTGAATATGATAGAAATGACTTTGAGAAGAAAGAGATTAATGCTACTGCTAAAAAACTCCTAGTTTGGGGTTTAGGGCCAGATGAACACACTCGTGTTATGGGATGTAAAACAGCAAAAGAAATATGGGATTTACTAGAAATAACCCACGAAGGAACTCATGAAGTCAAACGTTCTAAAATTGATATACTGCTTTCTAAATATGAACGTTTTGAAATGGGTTCAAAAGAAACTATTCAAGAAATGTTTACTCGTTTTAAAAATATTACTAATGAATTAGTTTCTCTTGGTAGAGTTGTTCCTATGGATGAACAGGTACGCAAAATTCTAAGAAGCCTTCCTGAAGATGAACGGTGGAGAGCCAAAGTGGCTGCTTTGCAGGAATCAAAGGACTTTACAACCTTTAACCTTGAACAACTTGCAGGTTCCTTGATAACTCATGAGCTTCACCTATCAAACAAAAGTCAAGAAAGCTCAAAAAGCCGAGGAATCGCTTTAAAAGTTGCCCAACCAAGTGATGAGGATTCCGAATCTGGAGAGGAAGAAGCTGCCATGCTAGTCAGGAAGTTAAAAAAGCTGTACCGTAACAAAAGGTTTGGTGACCAAAAGAAAAGGAACTTCAAGAAGAACCAATACTCCAAGGAAACAGGAGGTTGCCACAAATGTGGGAACACAGATCACTTCATCAAGGAATGCCCTCTCTGGGAATCAGAAAAAGGAAAAGGCAAAATGAAGGAACACGGAAAATCTAATACTCCTAACTTTTCAAAATCTGATTACAGGAAAGCCATGATAGCTGCGTGGGGAGACACAAGTTCTGAGGATGAAGAAGAATCCACGGA